TCTACTACCTGTGATCAATCTTTTGAGGACAGACAACGGCGTTAAAAACAGGTGCATTGCGCCACGATATCCATTACTGGCTTGGTAAAGATACCTCCCAAGTAAGCACCCCTTTAACATATCCTTTTAACCATACCTTGTTTAGTAAAATGATAAAAGGCCTAAGAGATGAAAATAAATTTGTAAATTTAGGATGAGGCTGGGACTGCTGCAGTTAAGACGGTTGAACTAGATGCTGCTCTTGGAGGTCGTGCAGTTCAATATCGGGAAGTTCAAGGCCACGAAACCGAGAAATTCTTGTCTTATTTTAAACCATGTATCATACCTCAAGAAGGTGGAATAGCTTCAGGATTCAAACATGTGGAAGCTGAAGAACATATTACCCGCTTATTTGTGTGCAGAGGAAAACATGTTGTCCATGTCAAGGAGGCAAGTCGCATTTCGTTTCTTTTGGTTCCTCTATCTCACTCTGTGGTTGCACACTAACGGTCTAAACTGATTATAGGTTCCATTTGCTCGTAGCTCTTTAAACCATGACGATATATACATTCTTGACACAAAGTCCAAGATTTTCCAATTCAATGGATCTAATTCAAGTATCCAAGAGAGAGCAAAAGCATTGGAAGTGGTTCAGTACATCAAAGATACTTACCATGATGGCACATGCGAAGTTGCTACAGTTGGTTAGTGAGCTAAGCGGTTTAACTAGGGATTAGTATCTTTTATCATCTGGTTGCTCTGGTCTCTAATTGCATATGTTTCATTTGCAGAGGATGGGAGACTTATGGCTGATGCTGATAGTGGAGAATTTTGGGGTTTCTTTGGTGGGTTCGCTCCCTTACCTAGAAAAACAGCTAATGCTGAAGACACACCTGACATTTCCGATACCAAAAAATTATTTTGGTAATATCTTCGTCTTCTGTGTCATATATTTTAATCTCATAAGTGCTTCAACTGAACACATTTTTCTTTCTTGAATTTGAAGTGTGGAGAAGGGACAGGCAAATCCTGTTGAAGGTGATACTTTGAAGAGGGAGATGCTGGATACAAACAAGTGCTTCATTCTTGACTGTGGACTTGAAGTGTTTGTCTGGATGGGACGAACCACATCTCTTGATGATAGAAAAGTTGCGAGTGGAGCAGCAGAAGTAAGTGGAGTCTTGAAATCTTTTTTGTTGTGTACCATAACGTTTGCTGATGTTAAAAGATTTGTATAGGAAATGATCCGTTCATCTGAACGACCTAAATCACAAATGATCCGCATTATAGAAGGGTTTGAAACCGTACCATTCCGATCAAAGTTTGATACCTGGAGTCAAGAAACTAATACAACTGTGTCAGAGGATGGTAGAGGCAGAGTTGCTGGTTCGTAAATCCTTACTCTTTAACTAGATAATGATTTAAATACTTAGATATAGCTGAAATGTTATCATTTTTTTTTTGTTCTGTTGATCATTTCAGCTCTCTTGCAACGGCAAGGAGTAAACGTGAGAGGCCTAATGAAAGCTGCTCCTCCTAAAGAAGAACTGCAAGCTTTCATTGATTGCACGGGAAATCTGCAGGTTTGGCGTGTGAATGGTCAGGAAAAGATTCTCCTTCAGGCTTCTGATCATTCGAAGTTCTACAGTGGAGATTGCTATGTTTTCCAGTATTCTTACCCTGGTGAAGAGAAAGAAGAAGTTCTTATAGGAACTTGGTTCGGCAAGCGAAGTGTGGAGGTGAACTCTCCAGACAACAAAAGCAAATTGTTTCATGTTTTTTCCATATATGTCTGTTACTGTATATGTTGAAGCGAAATATTATAAGGTGCAAGTAGGTTTAAAATTGTGAGTTTGTGATCATGTGTAGGAAGAAAGAGCTTCTGCAGTCTCTATGGCGAGCAAAATGGTTGAGTCAATGAAATTTGTGCCAGCCCAAGTAATCTTCTTCTGCAGTCATTCCAAAAGTCTATGCTGTTGGATTTTATCTGTTTCTTCTGAGCATGTTCACTCTCTTGTCTTTAGGCTCGCATCTATGAAGGGAAGGAACCTGTTCAGTTCTTCGTCATTATGCAAAGCTTTATAGTTTTCAAGGTTTGGCGAAAATGGTTTTATTCTGCAGTTTGTTATCGTTTATAAACATATACAATGTCTGCTGATTTTGTATGCGATGGTTGAATCTCTACAGGGTGGCATTAGCAGTGGATACAAGAAATACATAGAAGAGAAAGAAGTTGATGATGATACATACAATGAGAATGGTCTTGCTCTATTCCGCATTCAAGGGTCTGGTCCGGAAAATATGCAAGCAATACAAGTTGACCCGGTTGCTTCATCACTGAACTCATCATATTGTTACATACTACATAATGATTCTTCTGTCTTTACTTGGATCGGGAATCTAGCTACCTCAACTGACCAGGAACTCGTTGAGAGGCAGCTCGATCTTATCAAGGTGACATAAACTTCTCCTTTATTGCTATGGTGATAAGTCAATTATGTTTTCAATCATAACTATGTTTAAGTGTCGCTGAAGCAGCATCTGTTATGTTATTTTGGTCCAGCCAAACTTACAGACAAGGGCACAAAAGGAAGGTTCAGAATCAGAACAGTTCTGGGAGTTATTAGGAGGCAAAACCGAATATTCCAGCCAAAAGCTCACAAAAGAACCAGAGAGTGACGCTCATTTGTTCTCATGCACATTCACAAAAGGTAAGGAAGATCAGATATTATATCTTTCATAAATTTTTTAACCTAAGCTGACAATCTTCTTCTTTCCATTGCTGAAATGCAAATTAATGAAGACATTCTGAAGGTGCGTCCACTTTCAAATCTTCTTTTATCTCAAGATTTATGCACTCATACTTGGAAAAAGCTTTGGCATGTGGCTCAATCCCAAGTTTTTTTCTTGTAATCTTTTGGCAGGTGACAGAGATATATAACTTCACACAGGATGATTTGATGACAGAAGATATATTTATAGTAGACTGTCACTCAGAGATCTTTGTATGGGTTGGCCAAGAAGTAGTCCCCAAGAACAAGTTGCTAGCGTTAACTATTGGAGAGGTCAGATTTATTAGAAACATTGAAAACAAAACTTTTTGAGAGAATTAGTCTCAATAGATCTTGAAACCTTAGTCAAGTTACTCATCTATACCTTTTGTTTACTTAGAAATTCATTGAGAAAGATTCTCTCCTGGAAAAGTTATCCCCTGAAGCCCCTATATATGTGATCATGGAAGGTGGTGAGCCAAGTTTCTTCACCCGTTTTTTCACTTCTTGGGATTCCTCAAAATCAGCTGTAAGTAACACATACCTTCAATTAATACATAGAAGGAAACCTTGACAAAGGATTAAACACTCTCTTTGTTTGCTTACAGATGCATGGAAACTCGTTCCAAAGAAAACTCAGAATTGTCAAGAATGGTGGAACTCCAGTTGCAGATGTATAGACCTCTTCATGCTTTTCCTTTTACTTGATGATACTTCAGTGTGTGCTCTCTAGAATTTGTTTGTTTATCTCTTTTGTTGTTGCTTTGATGAGTAGAAACCGAAACGAAGAACTCCAGCTTCATATGGTGGCCGTAGTGCCAGCGTTCCTGACAAGTCGCAGCAGCGGTCAAGAAGCATGTCGTTTAGTCCAGACAGGGTTCGCGTTAGGGGAAGATCTCCAGCGTTCAATGCACTCGCAGCAACATTTGAGAACCAGAATGCAAGAAACCTCTCAACTCCTCCCCCAGTAGTTAAAAAACTCTACCCGAGATCTGTTACTCCTGATTCCGCAAAGCTTGCTCCCAAGTCTTCAGCCATTGCTTCTCGTAGTGCTCTTTTTGAACAATTAAAAACACCTCCTCAGGAACCTTTGATTCCAAAATCCATCAAAGGTATACCCTACCAACATTCTTACTGAGTGTCAATCTATATCATCTTTGTTTTCATTTTTTTCACTTTTGAGTATTGGCCATTTGAACTTTATTGGGGGTATGAAGCGAGTACGAAGAAACCTGAGTCTCCAGTGCCAGAATCCAACTCAAAGGGAAAGGAAGAGAGAAAGGACAATGACAAGGAGGAGGAGAAATCGATGAGCACCAGGATAGAATCTCTGACGATTCAAGAAGATGCTAAAGAAGGTGTGGAAGACGAAGAAGATTTGCCAGCTTACCCATACGAACGTCTTAAGACAACTTCCCCTGATCCTGTCACAGACATTGATGTAACAAGGAGAGAGGTAAGTTCAAAACCAACAAACAACTTTTTTATTTGTCAAAATTTTAAATGGAAAGAAGATCGTTACAGCAACTTGGTCTCTGTTATATATAGGCTTACCTTTCATCAGAGGAGTTCAAAGAGAAGTTTGGTATGACGAAAGAAGCTTTCTACAAGCTGCCTAAATGGAAACAGAACAAATTTAAAATGGCTGTTCAACTCTTCTGAGATGATTATCCTTCTCCATGAGACAGTGTCAGTGCATTTTTAGCTGCTGCTTCTGCTCCCCATGAGAACCATAAGTAACATTTTTCATGGCTTGTTTACAAAAAACAACCCAGAGCAGTTTTATTACCCCTTTGAGTTCCCCTCATTCAAATCTTTTACCTTTGCTTTCACCATCCGTTTGCTTGTTGTGTCCATTTTCGTTTCCATTTTTTTTAGTTTTGATGAGCTGAGATTAGATTTTTTATTTTGGTACTTTTGAATTGGTTACTCCTCAGGTCACATGTTGTGGTCTTGGGTCTTTGATTTATTTATTCTTGGGGTTGCTTTTGCTATCAAATTGAGGAAATTTGGTTGCAAAATAACTATTTTGTTTAGTGAGATTTCATATAAGAAAACACTAGTTTGCATCTCTCTTTCTATCTCTTTTTTTTTTGCAGAATTTGAGGATTATATCTATGTTTATGTCTATCTATCTATCATTATCTTTCCTCAACCGTATCATCATCATCATCATCACGTTTTAACCTACCACTGAGATTCATAGTAAAACGCATCCATGTTGATACGGAACCCACCTTGGCTCACTCAATGCTTAAGCCACGCGTGTGTGAACACCAGTCAAATTTCCTATTCTCCAACACATGGCAAAATATTCTTCAAAAAATTTGCAAATGCCGCATTGCTCTTGACCTGAAATCAAAAGAGTACATAAGATCTTGGAAACAACTACATTTGTACAAGCAAAACTATGATACTGAAGACATCCATGCCTTACTCAGCATTCATTGGAGCTTTCCAATTTATCCTGAGAGAGAGAGAAAAGACATGGAAGAACATATAGTTGAATCTGTCAAGAAGATGTTAGTGTGGCTCCTAATAACATCCGTTTTCCAGTTCCACCACAACTATATAAGAGAAACTCAGCAGTTCCCCCACAACTATATAAGAGAAACTCAGGGTTGATAAAGAATAATAATCCTCTGGCCCTCATCGTCTGTGTAAACGTAGCAAAATTTGTTTTAACTCCATTTTAAACAATTACATAATGGACTTAAGTGGGAGCAACTGTTTTGAGCTGAAAAACGCTTGCTGGTTAACAAGTAAAAGAAAAATATCCAAAAGAAAACAAGTCAAGGAAAGGGGAGAGGGATGATGAATAAAAACAAGTAAGTAGGCTTCTTCGTTCAATAGTGAACAGAAGCAACAAACAGCAGTTCGCCCTAACACTCCCAGGCACGGGGCTCGAGGTACACCAAGCTTCAGTGTTTTCCGGCGCCGGCGACGCGTTTTCTCGCCGGCGCGGGACTCTCTCGTCGACACCAACCTCTGCCTTCATCTCACTGTTCGTTGTTCACTTCAAAATCATCTCACTGCTCGTTGTTCACTTCAAAGTTAAGATGCTACGGAGTCGTAGCCTTCTGCAGATCGGAGAAAAGGATACCCGACGGAGCCTTTGCCGGAGATATGAGCTTTGGTTCTTTGTCTTCACTGTAGTCCTCCCGATGGCTCTCCCTAACTGTCCGGTCTGCTCTCCAGCGGTGAGTCGAGAGGGTTCTCTTGCTACCGCGCTTCTTAAGTTCACGGGAATGTTTCCCGACGAACTCCACCCTGGCTGTGCCGTCGACCTTACCCGCGCTCTTCAACCTCTCATGGAGCGAAGATCTCAACACTCAGACTCTTGCTTTCCATCTCTGGGAAGTGAGACAGCAAAACTACCGCGTATCGTTCCTTTCCACTCATATGGCGCCAGAGTACAAGGCAACTCAAGCCCAGATCCGAATCTCATCGGAAGATCTTCACTTTCCCCGCCTCCTAGTGAGCTGCCATTACCTCTTGTGTGTGCCTTCCTCAACGGTCGATCTGCGTATCTCCGCCAAACGTCTCTTTCTACATCTGTTTTCGATGGTCACTCAGCTTGCTTCCGTGAGCTCGTCTCTCCGCCGGTGAGTACCATCTATCTATCAGTCGACGTTTGCTGCGCCATCTACGACCTTGAACTTAGATCCACGACGTCTCGCACTTTGCCGGCGTTTGCTTCAGAAT